TAATCATCATCCGTGGGGAAACACATGAGGGAAGTTGCATGGATGTTTCGAAAGGGACCAGATTGCGGGAGAAGCAAGTGACATTTTGCGGTCGTTAGTTTTGATGTTTTGATCAGCCGTTGTTTCATCATCGCATTTCTTCTCATCACTGATGCAGCTAGCAACTTCCCCATTTCTTCTCTCGCGGATCCCGTTATTTCGCAAAATTGATGCACCATCTGGTGATCTGGTAGCTGTTGGTACTGGTTTTTTTTTTCGTATTCCCGTTCAGTTTCTGTTTTTTGGGAGTAAGAAAGGGAAGTAGGAACGCAATTTTTTTGAGGAATTCAGATGGAGGGAGTTTGAGGAGTAAATATTGCAGGTATTTTTCCTTCTCGGTCGTGTGCACAGAAGGCTTGGTGATACACATCTGGCACTGCTGAACTTCAGCTGGGCCGCCGAGATGGATCCACGAGGTGAGCAGAGCCAAAGTAGTCTTTCAGATGCGCCATATGATGACGATGCAACAACGGCAACGGTAGTGGATGTAGTTTCGGCTGAATAAACGGTGATATTCATTAAATTTTCCGTAACTTTCAATTCATAGTTCTTCACATTTACTAAAATTGCTGGGCCTTGAGCTATTTTGGATCACATTTCACAACTTTATGAATTGTACAAATAGAATTTGAAAATATCGAATTCTAGTGAAGTACGAAAATGCTGATTTTAGACTTAAAATTTCAAGGTTGCAAATTTACTACATAAATGACAAGATTCCAGAAATTTCCAAAATTCTTCTACGAAAATTTCCGACCCAACTTTAAAAATCCTTCCCTCACGCAGAATACTATCCTAAGCGTTTCGCTATTGATCTTAGTAATTCATTACTCGAAGTATCCCGTTACTTTCGGTGATTTTTGTTTTTTGATAATTCAGCCAGTTTGGAAATCTGAATATAAATTCTAGCTGTTTCTGGATATTTTCGATACGACCATCTGTTAGTTTTACAGTTGATTCCCAGTTTATTTCCCACGGAATAACCTTAAAATTTATTTTCCTTTTGTTAAAATAATTAAGTTATTCAGGTTTTAGTTGTTTTTTCCTTGTTTTTTTAATTGGATTTATC